CAATGGAACTATTATTGGTGCTGCTGTGGGTGGTGCTGTACTTCTTGCAGTTTTAGTCATCTGCATTATCATAGTATGGAGACGACGGAAGGCATGGTATGTTAATAAGAAGTAAATAAATATAAAGCTAATTATAATTTGCTCATCTTTTTTTTTAGGTACTACATTTTTACTGTAAAAATTGAAGATAAGCCCCTCCATGTTTTAACCCCTCCAAATATAAGCCCCCCAAAAACTCATAACACAAAAAACATTTCGTTAAATTGCCCCTCTGAATATAAGTCCCTGAGGACTTGTACTAAATTGCCCTCAAATACAAAGTAAAATAAAGCAATAATGGTACAGTAACATATATATTTTTGTATTTTTCAAATAACTATTACATGTGCTAAATGATTGCAGTCAGAAAGTGTAATTGCAGTTTGTTCAGTTTGTGTAGTTCACTCTTCACTCTTGGCTTGGATTTCCCCAGTCCATATGGACAAAGCAATTGCATGGCTTGGTTTTAGTAAGGTCTATGTCCTCAAGGCATCTTTCTGCAAATTACTGACATAAATTTCCTTCCAACTATAAGGTAGCTCAATTGATTTTGAGACACAAATTTCCCTCCAAGTATAAGCCTAGCCGATTGTAAAACGCAAATTTCCCTCCGTATATAAGCCCCTTAAAAAAGGGTCTTTGAAAAATATAAGCCCCAGGGCTTATTTTCGGAATTTTATGGTATTTACTTTGACTGTATATTAAGACTTAAGTTGCTGTCACCTTTTTTTGTAACTGGTCACTGGTTATTTTTTTTATCAGATTAGGTCTTTTTAGAGGGAACGACATGATCATCATAATAAAAATTTAAATAGGTGGTCATATCTATAACACATATTTACTAGATATACATGTATTTTTATATCCTATACTTTTCAAATCTTTAGCTACAAAATCATATTCATTGTTTTTTTATAATTTTATAAGGAAAAGCAAGGACAAGGAAGCCAATCCAGAAAGGACTAACAAACACAGTACGTTCCGTCAGATGCACATATATATAACTATTTGCATTTTTAACACAGTTGTTACTGATTAGACTTCATGTTCATTGATTGTACTATATTATATTTGAATTCAGAAAGCAAGACATAGGTAATAAAAGTAAATGTTCAGTATAATGAAAATCCACTGTACACTGTACTTAATATTTTTTTTGTTTATCATTGTTTATGTATTAAGGTATCATGAAGTTTTCCATTAGATAAGGGTTTCTGTTTGCATGTATACCACTACACTTGAAGATGTAGTAAAGTATAGGATACTCTTGAACCAGCTATTCTTATGATTATGATTATTATTATTATTATGTAGCTGGAAATGTTTTCCCAACAGTGTGTGCTCTCACTGGCTACTTCAAGGTCATATGAAATTGAACAATGAAACCGCTTCCTGTCAAAATCTCTGAGCGGGGAGCTTTGCAAAATCTATATGATGTCAGAGGGTGACAGTGCAGTGTTACCTGCAAATGTTGACCGACAACTGCCGTTACAATGAGGTTTAATATGAATTTCCAGCTTCAAAATTTCTAGCTATATAACAAATCATTTTAAGACCGGTCCCTTGGGAAACAGTTAATTGGCTCTGCCTTGGGAAACATTCAGTTTTTGGGAAACAAAATTAACTGTTTCCCTTGGCACCACACAGTCAAAGTGTGTATTATAACAGAGTATTATAATATTTCAAAGTTTTTTAAATTTTGCCAGGAAAAAAAGCCCAAGTTAAGAGGAAAAATTAATAAAACTTCAAAATGGAGTATTTAACAATTATTCCTCGAGCCCGAATGGGCTCTGAGTCAATAGCCCATGAGGGCGAAGGCCGAGAGGGCTATTGACTCAGAGGCCATTTTTGACCAACTAGTGGGTCAAAAATATCGAGAATAAAAAAATTTTAGCTAGGTAAAAGCTACACTTTAATCCTTTTTTGCCGCCAAAAAGCCTGCGCTTTTCGCTAGTAGTGGGCTATAACATATAGCCTAGTAGTAGCTCAACCAATCAGAATGCAGCATTGATAATAGACCACTAGTTGGATTTTACTTAAAAATATTAGCTAATCAGTATAGTCAAGGAAGCTCATTTTGAACTCACTAAACATTTGCTTTCCTATTGTAGTGAAAAACCCTGTGTATGGGAGCTCAGAGAATGAAATCCAACTGGATGAACAAATGGGAAGGAAAACCAAGCCATCCATTGCACAGGAAGACCAACCAACATATCAGAGACTAATTTTGGGCGATGGTAATATTAATCTCTTGCCAGTTTATAAGTTATTTACTTTAACTTTTAACCTTTTTTTCGAATTCATTCAGCAGAAACTGTAACTCACAGCGTTTTGTAAGTTTTGCAAGATTAATACAGGCTGAAATCAATGTTATTACATTAATACCACATAGTAGCTTTGCAATAAAACACAAAAATACTCTACTTACAAGCTTTCCGTTACTTTTTTTAAATTAAATAACTTTCAATACAAAAGAGAAACTATTCACACCATAGTGTTGGCAATGAGTCGTCTGGTATTAATCAACAAAATACATTCATTTAGTTTATAATGACATATAGGTAGCCCTTGAAATTTGAATTACAATAAAGTTTGCATTATTTTATGTTATTAATATATTTAGTCCTTTTACAACAATTTTACAACTTGATTACATTTCATCTTGATTGTTTTGAATTTAAAAGTACTTTTTTGATGAAGAAAGAAACGAACTAGTTTTCTTTCCTGCTTTTCCTTTCAGGGCAAAATAATGGCGCAGCAGTATGCAGCAGTGCTGAGGATGACTATGATAACTGCACTGTATACCAAGACCTGAATAAACAGATTCCTGAGACACCTGCGTACCTTGGCCTGTCAAAAGGTCTGCCAGAAGGAGCTCCTACCACAGAGATACCAAACTCCAGACACTCCACAATGCCAGATCCCAAGCTGAAACCAAGTGCTGGAGGGATACCATCTTCCAAAGCAAATGGCACCATAGGGGTACTTAAGTCCAAATCTGCGACTGAAAGGCCAAAGAGAGGGCCCATTATAGCCCAGGAACCTGTGTATAATGTCCTCGATGGACCTGGTACAGGCCCAAGGACCACAACAGAGCCATTGTATAATGTGGTTGAAGGACACGAATATGCAACCCCAAATGTTGACCCTTTGTATAATGTCCTGGAGGGCCCTGATTCTAGCCAGAGTGTACCTAAAAGTGGACCAAACACCACAGAGGAAGCTGTTTACAATGTGCTAGAAAGCCCTGATGCTACAAATGGCCCCACTAATAAGCAAGGTACTGAAAATGATGCTATTTACAATGTGCTTGAGGCCCCAGATTCTGACAAGAATTCAGTAGTTGCTCAGGGCCGTTCAGGGCCCGGCAATGAGCCCCTGTATAGTGTACTTGAGGAACAAGGTGGAGATGGATCAAAACAGAATGCACCAAATAAATCATCTTCAATAGGTGGAGTCGCTAATCCAGCATATGAGCAAACTCTTGATTTTGATGCGTCATATGCAGCTGTACGCAGACCAGGGACACGTGGAGAGTCACTGTATGAGCCCCTGAGGCGATCTGGACAAGACGTGTATCAGCCCCTTGGCTGAAGCCAGAACCTTCACAACACTGTTTTAAGGCTCCGTCTACATGTATCCTAAGATGCTATCTTAGAAAATACTTAAGCCACCATGAAATAAGCATTTAATTTGAAAAAAGTACAAATTTAGTTGTCCATTTGTGACAAACAAACAACCATTTCGTGAATTCAAGTAATGTGAACATAGGGTTGTTTTCTTACTTACTACTGACTCACTCTCTTGCTAACCTCGAACTCGTAGTCTATAATTGTCCCTCACGCGTGGAATCATTCAAACTCTGCATGTGTAGGGCAGTTCCTTATTTTATTCCAAAGTTTTTGCGGTAGCAGGGTTGTCATTAAGAGCCGGGGGCCTGGGATTTTCCCCGGCTACTAAGAGAGTGGCCCCCGGCTACTTTTATTGGAAAATAGAACCAAAATAGAACCAAAAGAAATCCCTAGCCGTTTGATTCCCGGCTACTTGTTGTATTTACCCAGCAACTTGAAATCTTAGGGACAACCCTTAGGTGGGCCACCCTTTCACGCCTCGCGTGCCCAGTCGCACGCATGGCCACTTTCCTCGCATGCGTGTTTAACTCCATGGAGGAAGAAACAAGAGGTGCTGTGTAGTAGCCTACAGCGTATTGTCTCATAGTTATGGCATTAATTAACAAATAGATTAATTATTACATATTATTGTCAGCAATGACACGAATTTTCTACGGTTCTGGATCTTCACGATTCTAAAATATGCGTCTGTTGCAATACATAATTTTCATAAATTATCTGTAACTGGTTAGTCAGCCCATTCCAGGCGTTCAGATAGTAGAGCGTGGCGGTCAGTGGTGAGCGAGTTAAATTGTACACAGGGAAAATTGGAGGAGGGGGGAGGGGGGCAAGAGCGAAAGAACCTTTCCCCCTCTAGTCTTCCTTCGTTTATTTTTTCTTCGTCAATTTTTCTCCCCCGCTCTACTATCTTAACGCCTGGAACACTGGTTAGTATGTATGGAGTCATTTAGAATGTTAATTTTTGAATTTTATTTTCTGGAAAATAACTCAATGCTTGCGTCGACAAAATCGTGAATTTGAATTTAACAAGTGAGTGTACTAAGAATAAATGATGGTTCGTATTGTGAAACCTTCAAAAGGTCGGTTCATTTATCCAAAAGTATCGTTTTGTATTGTTCGATAATATTTTGGGGGCAAATGAACCTGTTATTTTTGCCTGATGGCAAATCTCTTAGAGAGAAAGGTATACATGTATATAGTTGTGTGTAGTGTAGTTCAACGTTGCTGCATGATTTTTAAGTTGTGGTCAATGTAGATTATGCATGATTACAGTTGAACTCATTTTACTTTCATACGAACTTTCTGAAGTTGGATAATTTTGTGACCAAATTCAAACGTGAAATGATCACAGCTTTCACATGTAATAGGACATCGAAGTGAGAGGAATGAGTTTGGTTTTAGCTTGTTGGTCAATCAGACAAAGGGCCTTTGTAGGTTTGCAGGCTTTTGTGTGGGGTAGGCAGTAACAAAAACAAATGTATTTTAAAAGAGAAAAATCTAGATAAGGTATTAAAAATATTTTTATAGTTGTAGCTAATGTATTGACTGTATATGTTTTATAAAGAGGAGAAGTCTTCCTGCTTCCTCCCATATTTTTCATACAACGAACTTTTTTGGATGCTTTAGAAAAATGGTTGTGAATTTAATAATTTGACGGCTACAGGTGCTTATAGTTTCCTCCGCAGCCTTTATGAGGTTCGTCACGCAACGCTAAATTGCGTGACGACCCTAATGACAGCTGTAAAGGAGACTACAGATGCTGTAGATGACATGTAAATCGGAAGAGGTATTCCCACAAAGAGTAACTCTCTCCTCAGCGGGGAGGGGTGCCCCAACATTAGATTTATTTTGCTACTGTATATGTTGTATTATTTTCTTGAAAATAAGTTGTAGGCTTGGACTAAGTTTTTTTTTTCAACTCCATTTTATAACTTGCATGTTATGTGTTTTTTCGAAGTCTTATGCGATTCTTTTTATGATTATTTTAAATTTCGTATTTTTAGAAAATAGTCTACAATCTTGGACAAAACTGTTGAGAAAATTGCATTCTTGGGGGGCATTTTTTCTTAACTTCGTAGCCGACCGATTCTTCCCTCCCCCCTCCCCCTCGAAGCAGTGTTGTTGGGTCTTCAAAAGAAAGCCGGATCCCTGAACATTTGTAGCAAGCAACTTTGAACTGGGGGCGGGGGGGTTCATTACGCAAAGCCGTTGATTTGGAAATAGCTTTGTTGCGTTAGGTAGTGTGCATTAATGAAAACATTTTCTCAAGTAGTTTTGTCCAGGATTGTAGCTTTAATATACAAATAATGAACTATCTTATATTTTTCCATATCAAATAAAACGGTGAATAAAATATATATAGAATGGGCATAATAAAACATGCATAAATTCAAAATAGCTAGTTAATTAATATAAAGTACTTGGAAATAAAGTATAAATTGTGTAAAAAATGCAGCAAAATATGTTACCATAGCATGTTATGAATTAATTACATTGATTTTTTGTCGTCGCCGCAAAAGATGAATATGAAACCCCCACTACGGTAGAAGCATTTTAGTAAGTTGCGATTCATCNCCCTCCCCCCCCCCCCCCCCCCCCCCCCCCATAGGCCTGTATCTATTAATAAACATTCCTAGTCTTTCATTTTTGAAAGAATTGTTAGACAATAATTATTCAGTTAAACATTTGATAAGCAAGCGAAAGGTCAGAAATTGTGAGGCATTGAAAGGCTTACTAAAAAAATGTCTTTCTCCAATGAACTTGGATTATAGCAAAATGCACTGGGTGCGAGTCTAACGTATCAAGTTAAAATATTCCCACTTTTATCAACTTTGTACATTCTAGAGCGTCCCTAAGAGCGAGTTGCTGGCAAAATTTGCATACACCTCTTACAGTTTTCGTCAGAAACAGAGGCATTATGCTCCAAAAATATTAGTATTATGCCAGCATTATGCCTGATGCTCCAGATATAGTATTGTGCTCAAAATTATGCCGGCATAATCCGGCAGACCCTAGTCGCCGCAAAAGATGAATATGAAACCCCACTACGGTAGAAACATTTTAGTAAGTTGCGATGCATCTCATTTCTGGGCTAAAAACACTATGATCAATTACAATAAAGCCTTGCTCTCCCTTCAAGGCTAAGCGTTCGGCCTGGACTAAACCACTCGTCGCAGGGTAAAGCGTACATTGAGCTGAGAGCAAACAACGACAACTTTGTCAACGAATGTGCTTGTACCGCGTCATTCACTCGAGATAAATTTCTACTCCCCTTTTTGAGGGAATTTCAAAGCACAAACGGGAATAGATCGTTAGAGAGTGCAAAGAAGAGAAACTTTAAAGTTAAAGCTTCTTTTCGGCTTACCTGAAACCTGCTCTCTCCTTGAACTCGCAGTACAAACTCCTTTGAGAGATTGTTTGTGGTTCGTCATAGACCTTTTTCATAACCATTTGCGACAAACGCAGACCGCTGGAAGGTGAACGTGGATGGTCAACATTGTTGTGCAATGCTTTAACAGATTCCCTGTCCCTAAATTTGCGGTATGGAATTTGTTTAACCTTTTCACAACAATGTTTATCTCGTCTGGGTTTGTCACACAGCGCTTTCACAATAGCGGCCCACTTATTTATTCTTTCATATCTACATAAATGAGCCTTTCTGGTTTAGCTTAAAGTAAGAATTCTTTTGTATTTTGCACATGCTAACGTGGTCAGAAAGACTAATTATCATACAGTCGAACCTCTCGGTATGGACACCTCTCTAACATGTCTAATACGGACACCTCCCAATGTACCGACAAATTCTCATATATATTTTCTTTTAAAAAAACCCTCTATAATACGGACTCTCTCTAATACGGACAACGGACACTAAGTCTCGGCTCCGGGGAGTAAATTCATATAAACCTAACCTCTTTATTACGGACACTGCGGCGATCTAGTGCCGATCTCGAATCCCGATCAGGTAAATCTGCACAGGGTGAATCCCGTCTGGCTGATGAGCTATGCAAGTGGATTTCAAAAGCCCAGTCGCTGTATGTCAAACAACAATTTGAGGAGGAACATAACCGACTTTTGTAAGGCTTGAATAACTAGAGATAGCATAAAGATCTTTCTATCATATGTTGTTCTCTGGTTACTGTTTACTGCACTTTTATTGGCGAGGGCTAAAGAACTATCGGCCACAGGAGAGATGAAATAGATGGGAATGGAGGCCCGGAATGGAGGTTAGGTTAGCATTGTCCATATAGGAGGAACAGCACTCGAACAAGTCATACATAGCGAAAAACGCTTTCAGAATTGTGCTTTACCTTACATCTTTTTGCATGCAGCATTTCGCTGTAGCTCGTTTCGTTTTAAAACAGTGATTTGTCTACGACTGTACTTACTTTGTAGCTGAGATGTACAATGTTGTATGCTACTGAAAGACAGCCGTCTTTGTATTGTGAATTAATAAATTTAAATGCAGTTTGAAGACGAGTGTTAGCTTGGTTTTAGCTAGATTACGAGTAGTCCCCCATTTGTCCGCAGGGATAGTAGCGCGAGCGAAACGCGAGCGCGCGTGAAAATCACCCCACGCGAGAAAAGGCGACACGCTGCGGGGAGAGAGAAAAATGAGAGGGAAGAAGGATACCTGATCGCAGGTTAGAGAGGACTTGACCGAAACCGGAAATCTCTGGCACCTCGGGCTGTTGGTTTTCACATGACGTCACTGGAATTCAAACTACAAAACTATCGATCCTCCTGAGATTTTACTTTCATGGTGTATTATAGCAGCTGAAAACTAATTTTCAAACAAATTTTCGCTTCAAAAGGGTTCTTGGTTTTGTAATAGAGTAGGCTTGAATTTCTAAGCTTTTGCGTGACGCAGCATGTACATGACGGCCGAGAGAGCTGTCATGTAAGTCAGAAAAGTGACTTTTTTCGAAGAAATTTTGTTATCTAAACAGTTCAAGCATTAGA